TGTTGTGAAAATACGCTTATTTCCTATATTAGGACAGTGTTTAAAAGCAGATTCACCAGAAGCCTTTATTTTTTTAACTATTTTAGCTAAGTGTGCCCTCAATATATTAAAGATGCAAGCAGTTTTGTTTATTGGTTGATGTATCTCCAAAACTTCACTAACTGCTTCTTCAATTACCGATTTTTCTGGTCAATTTTCGTTTTCTTTTGGACCAGGCTTCCCTATAATGCAATATCTGAAGCAAATAATTTAATAATATATGAAAAAATGCATATTTACTATTATTTTAATTTTATTTACAATATTTAAATGCAGGGTTATGAAAGAGCTGGTTATGAAAGAGCCAGCTCTTTTAAGGCCCATTCACCCGGCTCTTTCATAACTTATTCTTTAAAAAAATATAACATTAAAAATAACAACAATATCAAAACTTTTGCGGCACAGTTTTTACGCAGCTGCAAGGCCAAGTATATGCACAAACTCAATCTACAATCCATTTACCGATATCATTTTATAATAAAATACCAAAAAACAAGTTAAATGAAGCAAACTCCTTACTTTTTAGTACCAAAAACTTTGACTCGAAGTACCGGCGTCCGCTGGTTTCGGCGGACTGTCAAATGTTTGTGGGTGACGGGGAATCAATGTAGCCACTTAAAAATAAAATTACCAATCAAATCCGTTCATAAACTAGCAAAATAATGTAAGTGGCTCTTTCAAAACCTGGCTCCTTCATGCCACTTCTCCCCTACCTCTTAATAGATTTAAAGGCGCTTTTTACAGGTGGCTAGGTGGCTAAATGAACATTGTTTTTATAATGTGAATGACTACCTAAATTTGACATGATGTGACACAACAGTAGTTATATATTTTTAATTAAATTTTATTCTTAATTATATTTAAATTTTGTATGTATTGGTATTGCTCATTTGTAAACATTGACATGACAATAAATATTTTAATTGAATTTTATATTGTAATATGATAAATTTAACTATAAAAAATGTATTTGCATGCTATTATAGATGGCTGAAAAAGCTGATCTACACTATATAATAACCACCTAAATGTACCCCTTTTTCAAAGCAAATAAATCTTCATTTCATTTCATTTCATTTCATTTCATTTCAAGGCACTCTCCTTGTTGCCTCAGCCAGTATCGGAATCCTAGTCGTCGACATATCGAGTAACGTGCAGATTCATGGTCACTTGGAAGAGAAGGATAAAGTAGCTTCTAAAAAGCTTGGTGTGCTATGCAGAGTGAGACAGTATTTCATTCCGGCACACCGCCTGCAACTTTACAAGATGCAGGTTTGGCCTCACATGGAATACCGTTCCTATATCTGGGCTGGGGCTCTCCAGTACTAGCTCCTTCCATTTGATCGCATCCAGCGCAGAGCGGTTCGAATATTCGGCGACCGAGCTCTTTCTGATCAGCTTGACTCACTGGCACTTTGAAAAGATGTTGCATCTCTTTGCGTATTTTATCGCATCTACCACGGGGAGTGCTTTAAGGAATTGTTCGGACTAATTCCAGCCACTCAATTTCACCATCGCACATCGCATCAAAACTCGCGATATCATCCATACCATCTGGATAATTGGCGATTCACCGTGCGATTTACACGAGGTTTTCTTCCTCGCACAACTTCCTTGTGGAATCGACTACCACCAGAGATTTTTCAGGACCGATACGACTTAGGGACCTTCAAGAAAAGAGCCTACTCTCTCATCTGCAATTCCCCTGGTTCCCCTGGTGTTGCAATTGTTCATGGGCAGCGGTAGTCACTTACCATCAGGTGAGCCGCATGTTCGTATGCCCCCACTCCTATAAAAAAAAAAAGGTCACGTCTATTCTCTAGCGCCGTAGTCGCTAAATGAGCAATTGCTTGTGTTCGCCTACACCTTGTGCGCGTTACTCTATTTTACCAACTTCTTGAAGCGATATTACCCATACGCGGTGGAGCACAGCCGGAAGCTAGCGAAGGCCTTCGTATTTGGTATGGATTCGCACGGTTTTGGTCAACCATCCACACCCACTCATTTGCATTCGTTTGCTAGTCTTCACTTGCTTTCGTTCGGTTGGTCTGTATCTGCATCAACTATGCGTGCTTTACAATGGACACAACCGCCATTAAGGTGGCAGGTGGGCGAGGGGAGTAACTTATGGGTATGCAATTTTTTTCGATGACGATTTTGCAATTTTGTTCACACGTTCAACAACTGTACAAAGTGCTTTGGTTCAACTGTCTACCTAAACAAGTAAATAATTAAAGCTTAAAGAACATCGGTCAAATATGACCTGACCAAAATATGAAACGACCACCAATGATTGATACCTCAAAAAATAGTGACTTAGGTGTATATTAAATTACGGGGTTCAACTTATTTTATTGGAGCCGGTAAAATAATTTACCTTTGTAATGAAAAACCTTATTTCCTTACTACGTTTTATAGGTTTTGAATGCATCTAAACCCGTTCCGTTTTTATCTGTGGTACACGTTTCATCATAACACTAAAGTAACATTAGCATTATGCGTTTACTTTTTTTAAATACTAGATTTTATTGTAGATTTTTTATTTATTTTTATATAATATCATTTTTAGATGAAAATATTCCGAAATAAGTTGCAAATGATAGGTTGACAGTAAATATAGAATGCACTATGTAATACTTAGAACGGAACGTATTATGAGTGTCTCTATACAGTCTGTGGTATTATGACAGGAGAGCTGTCAAAGCGTGAAAAGTAAATGCACTGTGTCTTAGATTTTTTGCAGTAAATAGATTAGAAAGGTTATTGATTCATTTTTGTGGTTTTAGCCATTGACTTGACTTATTTAGTTAAGTATATATTATTGCATAATTTTCATATCAATTGTTTAAGCTGAGGTTGTAGTCATGGCTGCAGTCATGACTACATCGTACCCTCAAAAATGACAAAGTACATAAGTGTAACGTTCCATGATCCTCGGCTTTTAAATAATATATTTTCAATTTAGGATTTAAATTGTGCCCAAGGGGAACGGATTAATCCATACACTAGTCATGTTCACGATATTTTATAGCTAGGTCACAGCATGTATGGGCCGTGACTGATGTTCTTTTAGCTATTATTTTAACTATGTCAGTTCTCACACTCCTCCGTGCGCGCAATATGCTCAAAAAGGGGTAAAAAGTTTTCCCTTCGTGTATTAATATACAAATTACATTTTGTTATTAAAAAATATGGAAATACCCATGACCTCAATACACCATATACTCATATAATTTCTAAATTACTATGAAGCACCGGTTTTGGCGCCAAATTTAGCTTTATACTAATATAAGTATAAAATAACAAATATTAAACCAGGATTTTTTGCACCAGTGTCTTAAACCGATACCAAAATCGGAACCGTATCGGAAGGTGGATCCTCTTTTAGAACCTAAATTAAGAACCGTTACTGAAATTTGGAACTGTTTTTCAATGTCTGAAAAAAATATTATGATAAGCATTCAATTTTAAAATATTTTTTTGGAGTTTATGGCCTGGCGTCTAGACCTTTAGGCCAAGTCTTGAGTATTTTTATTCGGTTTATTATAATTTCACCACTGTATTTTTGATGAATTTATATAGAAGCGCGTTTTTTTTTATAGGATAGGGTGACAAACGAGCAGACAGTCCACCTGGTGGTAATACCCATAGACATCTACATCTATCCTCAATAAAGACTCAAGATGCAGATGCGTTGTCACCCATGAGGACTAAAATGGAATGCCTCTTTGCCAGTAAAAAGGGTCTCCGGTTCTCTAAACTCACCATACAAAACACTGCACTGCTGCAGCATGGCTCTATCACGTACCTATTACGTGGTAGAGCATGTAATAGGATCTATTTTTTAACATATCACTCAGGCGACGGGAGGGATCTTGCACTGTCACTTGATTTTGCACTATGACACTAATTTCACTGACAAGAATCAATCTGTCAAATGAAAAACACTCACATATAAATATGAAATGTTCGATATTACCAACAGAATTATTGCAGAAGGTGCAGTAGCTGCTCTCCACTATGCCCAACCGAGCCAGGTGGGCCGGGACGGTGGAGTGACCAAAACGCAATCTGTTTAATTAGTCGTAATAAAGTCTCGACTGACCATTTTCAATTTGTTATACCATGGTGCTACAGGCAGGTTTTCTTGAACATTTCCATACCATTTACCCTTCTGTTCTTGGTCTTGTTTCCAAAATTCGAACCATAAACTATTGATGTGGTTGTCAATAGATTGATAACAGTCGGTCAAAGGTACTTTTACTATGGAGCTAACATCCAACATGTTGGTTCCATCACGTGCAATTTTATCTTCTATCTCATTTCCTGTTATGCCCAATGTGATGGAATCAACAAACAAAAAATAAACACTCTAAAAATCGGAAAACATAATTAACTTCACTTTAATCCCAACTGGCGACATCTGGTGAGCGATTATTAGCCGGAAGGTGTTTTTAAAGTACCCACTCTGTGATAGCGGTGGATTGTGGCGGCTTTTTTGAATAACGAAACGAAACTATCTATCGAATATCAATAGCGGTTTCAATAGAGTGTTTCACGACGTGTTGAATTGAAAAATGTGTGAAATGAAACAATGGCCGTTTCACGAAAAAGTTTGATTAGCTTGTTTGGTGTTCCCGTTTCGTTAAGATTACTGTTATCGAGTGACGATTTAATTATCTGTTGGCTCAAGTTGCCGTCAAATCTCCCAAGGGCTACACAACTGTGACATATCAACATATTGTGAAGCAGTGTACTATGAAGGATAATTATACATTGTAAATTCAAGCTCAGAAGGGCTAGAACCCAGAGCCGTAAAGCCAGTTATTAAAAAAAAGAGGAAAAGCGGGAAATTAAGCTTACTTTCACTTACTTTTTACTATAAGGCTTATAAGGTGGAGAATTAAAAAAATTTACATTGGCAGCACCGCTCTTTAATTATTTATCACTTATCACTTATCAGTTATGAGATAAGCATTAAGCACAACACAAATCACAAAATAAGATTATGAAGTTGCTACGGTTATCAGTTATCACATCTTATCTGCCAAATTCTAAGTTGTCCGTGTCGTTATTTCCGCGGAAAATGAAACGAACCTAATCATTACGTTTTATTTCCGCGTACTAAGTGAACGCTGTGGGTGTGGTGTGTTTACATTAAGTAAAATTAAATTATAGACAATGTAAGTTGAAAATTATTTATGGATCACGCAAATAAAAATGATTTTAAAATTTTCATTTTTTATTTAAATTATTTAGTCTTCTTTAGCTTTTTACATTACTTACTTTACGAAATATTTTTCAAGGAATACATACGTCAACATCACGCATTTTTTGAAATTTTTCCATGCTAACACATCTAGACAAGCGAGTTCTTGAGAGAATAGTCGATAACCTGTCACTGGTAATGCTGCTCTCTAAGAGCAGTAGGTGGAATATGGGTTCGGCATTTCAATGATGATTCCATCAGTTGGTCACTAGAGCTTTGTTGGTCACTAGTTATCAATATTTATTACTTTCCAGTAAATTTGCCGTGTAGTTGTGACATAAGGGAATCTACTACCCATATTATCGCCAAGGGTATCGTAAAAGGTGACCGAGAGAGATGAAACAGGAGATGGGCAGCAGAATCTTCTTGATATCAACTCAAAATAATAAAAAACTGCATTTGTTATCCTGTCTGCCAAGTGTGGCAGCTATGACAAATATCGCCCCTCGCAATCAAAAGCATAAAGGGATGCCTATGTTCAGCAGTGAATTTTTGATAAGCTGTAATAAATGTACGGTTAACATTTAGAAAGGCTTACATCTTCTCCCTTTATTTCCTATCTATATTTGTAATTATTGTGCAATAATTACTAAATGTGACTAAAAATCAGAAAACATTGTGAAATATATTTTTACTTATATTTTTCATTCTTTTAACTTTACTTACACCATGATCTTTACTTTTTTTCATATTTCTTTGATCCTGATACTTTTCAACATTCAGTATGAGGGCTTTTTTTCGGCGAGGAGTATACATTTTATTCAAAAAAAACTTATTATTAACTAATTGTATTTCATCTGGAGTGTTTTTGGGGCTTGGTGATTTAGTTCAACAAGAAATTGAATATCAATCTAAACTTTTGAAAGAAAGATATGACTGGACTCGTACAGGTATTAATTTTTTTCAGCTACAATTACAGCAATGTTAATTTGCTTTTATATATAAGAAGTTCTTATCGTATATCATCATACTAAGCAAGACTTCATATTAAGCTTAATTACCTAGAATCTTATAATATTTACATAAGTAGGCAGTTTTATGTTTTACAATTTTTACAGGAAGAATGTTCTTAATTGGAACTTTATTGGGTCCAATACACCATTACTATTATATTTATTTGGACAAGGTACTCCCAGGTATTGATGTTAAAACAATAACAAAGAAAATAGCTCTTGATCAAGTAATTGCATCACCAGTATTTATTGTATTATTCTTTTATGGAATGGGTATATTAGAAAACAAAACAAGGGAGCAAAATGTACAAGATGTCAAAAGAAAGTTTTTACCTACTTTTGTGGTAAGTACATTACATAAGTATTACTTTTTTTCTTATAGTTATTTTATTTTTAAGATGGACTAACCTTTAGGGCTGATTGTTCAGTGATCAGATAAAAGTTATCCATTTGATAACATATGTAAAATAAATGAATTATAATTTACAGTTGTAAATAAAAAGCTGCTTAATTATTTCATTCTTTATTTAATGGATAACTTCTCTGATGATTAAAACATCACATCTAACATTAAAATATATTTTATGACAAAAGTTTAAACATGATTAATATTAAGATGACAGGTACTAACTGGTAAAATAATAATAAAATATTCATCTTTTTAAAATTTGTTTACCTCTAGCATTTATTTTACCATGGAGTGTAAGAATATCCAACCCATATTCCCTAATGGGAGGATACAGAGGGTAACAAAACAAGAGATGGGTGGTAGGTTCTTCGTTACGACAACTAGAAGATAATAAACTGTGGTTTCTAAATTCTGCCAAGCATGGCAACTATGACAAATATCCCCTTTATGAGACAATATATAGGGAGGCCTTTGTTCAGCAGTGGACTTAGATAATTTAAACTTAAAACCAGGATTTATAGTTCGGGTGATGCCACTTTAATATTAATATCTTCCAAAGAATATACATTGTGCCTATATAAAAAACTGTTTGTTATAAAAGGGAAGAGAGACTTTTTTCTCCAGTAGTGTGACAATTATAATAATATAAAAATGTTTAAATTTATCTTTATTGTTTCAGGGTGACTGTTTATTCTGGCCCCCAGTTCAGTACTTTAATTTTTACTATTTACCAAATCAATATAGAGTATTCTATGGAAATGTTGCAACAATGGTAATTAATGTATTTTATTCATATATACAACATCAGTATTAGCAAAAATTTTATTATATTTAATTTAAAAATATAACAAAAATAAAATACATAAGTACTTAATTATAATATAAAATATAAATTATTTTAACAATCAATTGTGTAATAGTTTGTAATGACAATTTCTTATACCACTCTTTACCTGCAACTTAAAAATCCTGTGTAAAATTCCTTATTGGGTTCAGCTATCGTTAGTCTGTCATCAAGGAATGTTCATAATTATTCATTCTGTTCTATAACTTAAATTAAAAAAGTAGCATATTTTTTTTTTCATTTAAAACTCAAATTAAAAATTTAAAAAACCCCCAAAAAACTGCTGATGACCATGAAATGGCTGAACTGATCTTAATAGAGCAAGTCTGATACCCCATTTACACTCTCGCGCGAGCGACGAGGCGAGTCGCGAGGCGAGCCACGAGGCGCGAGTGTAAACGCTAGCTCTTGGCTCGCCTCGCAGCTCGCCTCGCCACTCGCGGCGCTCGCGTCGTAGGCGGTTTTTTGGCCACGAGGCAAAGGGCCTCGCGAGGGACGCGAGCGTGGTGTTTACACTCGCGTCTCGTTTCAGTTTGTTTACGGCGCCCTTCCATAATAACATTCGAATTGCTTTTGGTTTAAAATACAATTTTAATAAAATAATATTATTTAATCTTGCTATATATAAAATATTAAAAAATATAAAAATATTATTTAATCTTAATAGGTACTCGCAATTTATATAAAATTATGAAACTGAAAAGGTTCTGTTTCGATGAATAGATATCATCCGTCATATTCTTCCTCAACGACGTATTTTTATTAATTTCCTTGTTTTTAAAATGGTCAAACATCGATAAATACTTATTAAGGCAAGAGTTGATGCCGCTATTATTTCAACGTCATTCATCGTTGCTGGTTTTCCGTATATACACTCTTATCTATGGTTGCTGGCTCAACGCAAACTGACCGCATCGCGAGAGTGTAAACAGGCACTCGTTACCTCACAACAACACTCGAGCTGCGAGGCGAGAGTCTAAACGAGGTATAAGAACCACCGCTAGAAAACCTGTTTTTAAATTAAAAAATGCACCCAAATCGCTTCAACCGTTTAAGAGCTACGGTCAAAAACAGCATTGTTTTTGCACTTTAATCTATAAAAATAAAAATAAATAAAATTGAAGTGTCTGTTTGTAATGTAAAAATTACAGCTTTTTACTAAATGAATATGAAAGTATGTACGGTACTAATAACAAAAATACAATTTTTAAAGCTTTTGTCTGTCTGTCTGTTTGTTCCGGCTAATCTCCGAAACGGCTGGACTGATTTTGACGGGGTTTTCACTGGCAGATAGCTGATATCACAAAGAGTAACTTAAGATACTTTTATTATAGAAAAAGAATTAGGGTTCCGCGCAAAAAATTATAACCCCAAATAATACACGGGCGAAGTCGCCGGGAACAGCTAGTAATTAATAATACATCATTTTTATAATACTCGTATGTAAGGCGGGAAATGAAACTGCAGTCTTCAACGGATATGACAACGTACAAGTAGCTAAATCTGAACAGACAGTTCTCCAAACGCATGCGGCGAGAACCAAGGCTCCAAAATATTTTCCAGAAAGTCTATCTGCTGGAAAAATTCAAATTTCTAAGTTGAAGACCAGCTGTGACTTTTCAGGTGACCTGAGATTTTGAGTGAGAATGAGAGTCAACTGATAGCAGCCCACATCGTCATAAGAACCACACGCAAGTGTGAGTAACGACTCAAGAGTAAGTCTCATCCGACATTAGTTGTAAAACTATTAGAGCGAAGTTAGGATGGATTTGCAGCAACTTAAAAATAGAAAGACCCTGGGTCTCACCCAGGTCTATCCAACAGCAGACAGGTGTAAACCAAAGGGACTTTATACGTGATAAACGAACTCACTATCCACCTGATGGTAGCTTTAAACAAAGAATGCTGCAGATGTGTTGTCACCTGTGAGGACTAATATAAAATGTTACACTGCCTATACTTGTACTGGCTGTCTTTACCCTCCGGATGTGAAGACGGTAGTGCAGGCACTGCAGTTTGAGATGATCATCGATGTCAAAAAGAAAACATCGATGTTTTAACACCGATGTTGCCACATGTCCAATATCGAAACATCGATGTCAATAAACCCATAATCGATTATTGGGTACTTGCGAACACTGCGAAGTGCAAACCCGCGAAATCAATATCAACTGAATCTTACATTTCCTCTAAAATATTTAAAATTTTGAATAATTCAGAATGCTTGAACGCATCGATAACCTAAAAATATATCATTAACAGTCAACTGTAATGTCGTAGTTGTTACTGATTTCGTTTTGTTATTGGTGTCGTTGTTGGTTGTGTTTCTTTGTAGGTTATTTAAAAAAAAATCCGATGGTTGATCTTAAACACTATCCAATGCACTTTTAGAACAATGTTATTGGTTCTACCTATCTAAAATTAAAAAAAAAAACTTTCGGTGAAATATTTCACCACAATCGCTACACCAACGCCATCTGAGTGGTTATCTACCGACTTCAAAAAGGACAACTAAAATGTTAAATATTTCTTGTTGCAAAATAATGTATTAAGTATAATAAAAACCAGTTTGTTGGCACTTTATAATAATTTGTATATTTATTTTAATATAACTGACATGTTTTAATAATATTTTATAAGCAATTTCCGCTAGACAACCAATAAATGGACAGGATTACACGAAGATAACAGGTGTAGGGTAAATTAGTGTGATAAAAAGGAATACACATATATATATATGTGTGTGTGTGTGTGTGTAAATGATATATATATATATATATATATATATATATGTGGGATTTAGAAAGGGAATGGGATGTACGGATCAGGTCTTTTCCATGCGCATGATCGCGGAGAAGTTTTTGGCCAAAAACCAAAAAGTTTTTTGTGCGTTCATAGACTTGGAGAAGGCTTATGACAGAGTGGACAGGGATGTGTTATGGCAAACACTGAACTCATTTGGGTTGACCGCTTGTCTGATACAGGCATTGGAGTCTATATAGGGACTCTAGTGCTTGTGTCAGGATCAACGGGGCCTACTCGGACTGGTTTGGCATCCATAAAGGTGTCAGACAGGGCTGTGTGGCTTCCCCGTGGTTGTTCAACCTGTTTATGGACAGTTGTTTGGAAAATTTGAAAGTAGAAGAATGCGAGTTAAAAATGGGTGAGTTAACCGTCAAATGCCTTTTGTACGCCGATGATCAAGTCATACTTCCGTCGTCGGCGGCCGAGTTGCAAATGATGGTTACATTAAAGAACAGGACATTAAAAGAAAAGGGAATGAAATTGAACGCAAGTAAGACGAAAGTTATGGTTTTTGAAAGAGAAGAAAGTAAAACGATATGTGAAATAAGAATAGAAGGGGAGTTGGTAGAGCAAGTAGATGAGTTTGTATATTTGGGATGTTTGTTTAGCAGGGATGGTAGATATGATAAGGATATAGAACGATGAGTGAATGCAGGAAATAGAGTGAATGGGGCTCTACACTCTATTGTGAAAAGTCAGAATGTGTCCAAAAAGGCACGTATGGCAATTCACAATGCTGTGTTAGTACCTACTTTAATGTATGGTAGTGAAAGTTGGGTGTGGCAGAAGAAGCACGAGAGTAGAATAAGTGCTGTAGAAATGCGGTCATTAAGGAGTATGTTAGGGATGAATCTGAATGACAGAGTGAGAAATTGTTTAATAAGAGAAGAGTGTGGTTTGCAAGATGATATTGTGACCAGGATTAAGAAAGGAATGCTTCGGTGATTTGGCCATGTAGAAAGAATGAATGAGGAAAGAGTGACAAAGCAAATTTATGTTGCAGAGGTCAACGGCATAGTTGGGAAGGGTCGCCCAAGGCGAAAGTTTATCGACCAAATTGGCGATATATTAAAAATGGGCCAAATCAAGAGTACCTTTAACCGACGAGCGTTTATGCGTAGGTATATGGATGTGGAGGAAGCGAGAGAGGTGTTAGGATCGTGCCAAATGGAAGTCCATAATCTCTGCCTACCCCTCTGGGTGACAGGAGTGAGTGTTTATGTTTTTTTTTTATATATACATACGAAAACTAAAATAAACATATAATGAATTATCTAATAAAATGCAATCATTATACTACATTATATTTAATGGTTAGTGTGGAAAGTATGTATACTAACAAACATAAATGCCCAAAATATAAATAATTTTAACTAAACTTATGATGTTTGTAATTGGGTTGAACATAAAACTGTTTTAATTTTTTGTCTCAGTTCTTTAGTAAACAAATATAGCTGTATAAGTATATATTTACGCGGACAGCATTTAGCTATGACTTACTACTTTTATGTGTTAAAAGTATCCTTTAACACATAAAAGTAGTAAAACGTAAACAAGTTTACTTATTTTGTGGAAAAAACAACATAAAAACCCTTTGAGTGACAAAAAAATCTACTATGATTACAGAAGTGTAATACCTTATAAGGTCCAAGTACTAAGATTGAAAAAATTACTGATTATTAACATTTTGTGATTTTCTTTACTAAAGTTAATAAAAATCTGCACACAACTTCAATTTTTTCATTTATAACTATAAAATAAATTAGTTATAACTTATATTCATTTCCTAATACTTTATTAGGGCCACGACTGTGGGGAGTTTCTGTATGACCGTTGTATGTAGCTCCTCACATTGAAATAAGAAGATTTCTTAGACTTGAAACATTTAATCTTCTAACAAAAATATACTTATTACGAAAAACTAGTCTTACATTTTTCTTGTTATTTTTTCGTAACCATGACAACAACTTACAAGATATAAAAAAACCTAAAAGGGCCGTAGACAATATTTATTTATCCTCAACACACTCCAGACCCGAAAGAAAATAGTAACCAATTAACGCAACCAAATGTAATTCATAAGTATCGAGCAGGCAATTTCACATTTCGACCGCACCGCGTTGTTTTCGTCACCTTCGCGCCACCTGTAACCGAGGAGGGTAAGTCGGGACTATCTGAACTTACTGATAACTTCTCATCCTCTATCGTTACTTCAGCTCGTTGCAAGAGGTCAGAATCATTTGAAATCTCAAGCGGA